GTGCTTTAAATGCCTCCGCAACTCTGAGACCTGGCGATGTGGTTTTCCACGTTTTTTCTCATGTCTGAAATCCCAAAGCAAATCACCTGTCCATGCCCTCAATGATAAGAATGGTGCTTGTTATTAGGATAGTGACTGCAACACTGTACAGATTCAAAACATCACCAATTTATTTGGGGTAGCCAATAAATTTGGGTAGGTGAAAGTACACCATGAAACCAAAGTATCAAACCAATGATAGTTTTCACATGTTTGATCTTTTTTTAATGGATGTTTGTGGGTCCCAAGTGAGTGTTTGATGCGTTGATACCAAAAAGATACTGCTCAGATCTTCAAATTGGTTTTGGTTAATGGCTTGATTGTCAGGATATTGTTTTTCCCCACCTGCCAGGTGAGGGTTGTTAGATTTTATCAGAGCTGTTCTCCTCCTCCTCCTCCTCCACCTCCGCCTCCTCCGCCTCCACCTCCGCCTCCTCCGCCTCCTCCTCGCAGTCCAGATCCCAGTGGGCACAGCCGGACCTCCACCGCAAGCTCCAGATCCCAGTGGGCACTGCCGGACCTCCACCGCGAGCTCCAGATCCCAGTGGGCACTGCCGGACCTCAACCGCGACTTCCAGGTTGCAGTGGGCACTGCCGGACCTCAACCGCGACTTCCAGATCGCAGTGGGCACTGCCGGACCTCAACCGCGACTTCCAGGTTGCAGTGGGCACTGCCGGACCTCAACGGGAAGAATGTGAGGAAAGATGTCAGATAGAATGTCAGAAGATATGCCAGATAGAATGCCAGAAAGAAAGTCAGAAGATATGCCAGACAGAATGTCAGAAGATATGCCAGAAAGAATGTCAGAAGATATGTCAGATAGAATGTCAGAAGATATGCCAGATAGAATGCCAGAAAAAATGTCAGAAGATATGCCAGATAGAATGTCAGAAAGAATGTCAGAAGAAATGCCAGAAAGAATGTCATAAGATATGCCAGAAAGAATGTTCTGAATGCCACAAGATATGCCAGAAAGAATATCAGAATATATGCCAGATAGGCTGCCAGAAAGAATGTCAGAAGATATGCCAGATAGAATGCCAGAAAGAATGTCAGAAAGGCTGTCAGAAGATATGCCAGATAGAATGTCAGAAGATATGCCAGATAGAATGTCAGAAGATATGCTAGATATGCGAGATAGATGTGGAGGTCGAGAGAAGATGTGCCAGATAGAATGTCGCCACACTTGGCAGAAGCAATGCTTGTGGTGGAAGATATGCCAATATTAAAACGTATAAATGCCATGGTGGGGATCACTCGAAGTAAAGTATGTTTTTTAACGACGTGTTCCTAATACAAACATTGTAGAAAAACTTGATGATTATCTTCGGGGAGATTCTCTATGTTGTACTATTACATATACCACAGCAAAGAATGGTACACATGCTGTACTCTAGTTACTTCGATGTTGACAGGTGTATACATATATACATGTTGTTTCATAACCCATATATCACAGTCATTTATATACACGTTTATACAGTCATCCTGAAGAAGGTGGACATTTGTATATTTAAAGAGATACCAAGTTAACAAGTATTTGCTTGACATGTCCATATTATATTTGCTCCAGGACAAACACATTTATATATATATATATTCATAAATATACATATATGTTTATGTATATATATTTATACATATTTATTTGCCGCATATGTATCATATGTCCAGATCTCTATATCTATATATGACATATATCTATATATGCATCTATGTAACTTGGAGGCCAATTTCTGTTAGTATACATAATATTATCATTATTATTGTTATTGTTATTTCAATATTAATGAATGACATATATATGTATATATCACATTATTGACATTTACATATAGTATACTATATACTACTGTTATCACATTTATCACTATTATAACTCTTATATATCATTTTTGCAGCAATATATATATATAGAGCAAATAAACACAAATCCACAGGAATCTATATATATATATTTAAGATCTAAGAAACCTATAATAGATTAAAAGCCTGACGCTCCTTTGGGAAGTATTAAGCAAAACCCCACAAGCATGACTGGCTAAATATATCCATCCTCTATGGATCCAACCGCAGTGATGTGAATAAGTTGGTTTATAAACCATGAAATAACCACCATGAATACTATAGTTATACAGTTTAATATCTACCATAAACCATCGAATTCAAGCACTTTTTTTTAGGCGTTTCTGAACGCGAGCTCGACTGGGGGAAAAAAATCCTATACCCATAGGATCCATGGTGCTGCTATATATGGTAACATGGATCCCATCAATATACCCCAGTCATGTTAGCATATATACCAGCACCATGGATCCGTCATGGGTATATGGATACAATTGTCAATCATGATGATTATTCTGATTTAAGGTTGGTGCACATAACTCCCATAACTATGGTTTATGGTCGGTATAACTATAGTATTCATGGGGTTTATAAACCAACAAACATCACTGGGGGGCACCATCCTGTAGGGATAGGACTTCATGACATCGGCGCGCCAATCGGCGACGAGGAAAGTTGGTCCCTGGTCTTGCGCGGCTCCCGTCGTACCTTGGAGCTCCTACGGCAGCTGCCCGAAGCCTTCCGCGACGACGTCCTGGTGCCGCACCGCGGGGCACCGGTGAAGTCGAGGAAGAAAAAACGCTTAATGGATGGTTGGAAATGAGGAATGAATCGTGATGGAAGATATATGAGTTTAGTGACTTATAGTTGATTTATAGTGTTTTATAGCGTTTTATAGTGATTAGTCTTTAGCGATTGTTAAACAGTATGACTGATGAACTAATCTTGGTGGTTGATCAGTTATAAATACTGTTCTTAGTTTATGACCACTGAGTGAATATTAGCGATTGATAACCAAGTGGTCATATATGAGTGAATATTAGCGATAATATCAACCCTTCTTAGTTTATAACCACTATAGCTGAGTGAAATTAATTTCGATCGGATGTTTTTTCTTTTGTGATTAAGAGTAATTAGAAGGTATTATAGCAGGATATGAACGATTTTGAATGGAAAGTGTCGGATGAACATATACAACATTGTTCCATGGTACGTGCTTCATACAAGGATTATATATAAGATTGCATGATGATGAGTCATAGCAAAGATGGAACTTTGATGATGAAGTAATCAAGTGTGTACATACAACAATCAACAATCAACAATCTACATACACAAACAAATAGATACAAACTATTGCATGTATACTTATATATATATACATGTTGGATCCTAACAAGCGGTATATGAATATGATATAATACTGTATGTATTCCTGATATTGCACGGTACAATTGTGGATGCTGCAGGATATATGATGGTAGTCTTGTAGGCAATGCAGACATTGATGAGTGAAGGGATATTGGCCATGAATTGAACCCATCACTCACAGGCTTCAAGCAAATACCGTCTTGTTATTTAACATAGCTATGAAAAATCACCAAAATAAATGGAGGTTTATAGCTGGGAAAATCATCTGTAAATGGGCATTTTTCGCTATTTTAGTCATAACCAGAGGGTAAATCAAGTCTACTTTACCATCGTGGGAACATATCGCTGCACCCAATCTTTGTGTCCTGTCTCCATAGTCCCAGACATCCGCATTCTTGGGATCTGTTGGTGTTCCGATTGACGCTTCGCCTATGTTCGCCTTGTTTGACTGAGAAATTCCCTCCATGCCGGGAGATGCACTTTGAAAAAAAACATACGCATACGTATAGTGGGTGAGTTCCATTGATTTCCGGTTCTCGCAGAATTTTATGTTTGAGTTGATATAACGACAGAATACGAGACACGTTTAATATGATTTACCACTCATAGCATTTTATCCCATTATATATAATCTTATTGTTTATATACCAATCATGATTATGGTTAAATACATATCCCATTTGAGATCATATCATAGCCACAACTGACCAGAAAGACTGGCCCTCTGAGGACGCGGCAGATGCCTCGGAATTGTCGTTGTTGCTGGGACTGTCCAAGAAAAAGAAAAAGAAGAAGAGTTGCTCGGCTCGTTTTCCTGTTTGGCGGTTGTTTAATCGGAGAATGGTAGGAGTAATGGTAATATCATGGGAATAGGGTGGATGGAAATAATAGGATATAAGGCGGTGTTGGGAGCAACACTGTGGCTTTGGAGCAAAATTATTCAAAATCAACCGCCCCCAGATTGTGAAGGTGACTACCCCCATTGTGGTCTCTTCTCTCCATGCTTGTTGGTTGTAGTACATAGTGATTTTTGTCTGACACGTGCAGTTCCATTCCCCGAAGAATAAACACATCCAAAATGTAGTTTGCTGGGTAGTACACAACCGGCCTTATCCAAAAATGAAACTATCCTATGGTGAACTAAGACAGATATGCAAATTAGATGGGTTTCGTTTCATATCTACAGTAAATCAACAGGATCTACACATGCTGGATTTTCCATGTTGGTTCACCATGTTGGGTAACAACGATTCACCCGAACAGATCACCAGCCAGGAGATTCGGAGTCTCGACTCTCAGACCGAAAAAAAATCTGCAGCTGTTGGCTTCACGAGGAAAGCCCTTCTGATACGCCTCGGACAAGGAGGGAGTACCTTCAAGTACTTTTTCGGGATGTCTAAACATGGCTTCATCTTACTTGTGCTTAGTAGGAAATGGGGAATGACCTATAAGAACCATTCATGATCATCCCATTCCCCAATTCCATACTAAGTGAATTTTCATTCCAGAAAACTTGACACATCCGAATTTTCTGGATGGTCTCCTGTTCAGATAGATGGTAAACCCAGCGACCGCACTGCAAGCATCAGACGGGGGTCTCCCTCACCAACTGTCAACCGTCAACCCAACAGTGGGAACAAACGCGATTTCTAGGCCCTAGGTAGAATCCAAATCGGAGGGTTTCTGCCTCAAGAAAAATTGGACAAGCTGAGCTGTTTAGACCTCGCACTGGTTGACCCCCTGTTGCCATGGCGGGGCAGCTGGAATCCACGGCAGGGTCCCTGCGGCGAAGCCAAGCATGCGACATGCACATGTCCATTCCGGCCTCTCGCTGGTGCGTGACCTATGGAGACTTGAACTTCTTGCGACGTGAAGTGTTGCAGGCAGTGAAAGAGGGCAAGATTCAGGCACCAGCCAATGGTTCTTGTGCACATTAAGCCACATTCATGTTCTGGTTGGTGGTTTGGATCATTTTTTATTTTTCCTATATTGGGAATAATACTCCCAACTGACTTTCATATTTTTCAGAGGGGTAGGTATACCACCAACCAGTGTTTCTATCTTTTTCCCATTGCTGACAAAGTGTAAGTGTAAGTCTGGTCGCAGACTTATTTTCAGGGATTCCCAAGGTTTGGATGATTTTGATCCATTGGACAAAACCTACGGACCCAGCATCTACACTGTGAACGAAACGTACATCATCCCTGTGACCAGAGATGCCGGAATGATGAGTTGGGCTTTGATGCGGCATCCCAGTGGCTTAGACTGCGAGGTCTTCATCAGCCATGCATGGCAGGAAGGCATCTACGAGTTTCTCACGAAAGTTCCCCGGCAATTGGTGGTTTCATAGTTTTTTTTTCTGTTTTTTTTCTCATGTTTCTCAATGAACTATATAGGATCTATAGGATGAGATGGGTGGCTCAACCCCTTCCCTTCAGGTTCAACAGTCGTGGCGGAGAGGTTTGCAGAATCTGTGGTGCTGCATGTTGGCGAACCCTCAAAACTTGGACATTTCCACCTTACTCCGCAGTCCAGCTGAATCTCCCTTTGCCCTGGCTTTGCGCGCGGCCCAGCTAGTGTTGGTGGTGCCAAATCGGCACAGGACACGGGCTTGATGGGCGACGAAGCGACCAAACTTGGATCCGGTGTAATTTGCAGAACATGTGCTTCTGGTACACTCTGATTTATTGACCATAGGAACTCTGAAATTGTTTAAAGGGCAAACTGGTGGATATCCTCACTATGACCATCCACTTTTTCCATGTTCCCATTTTAGCCACACAACTTGGGCATTTAGACACTAAGTCATGCATTTTTAGATGGGGATGGGCTATGTCACTGTACAAACCCTCCAAAAAATGGATGATCGCCGAAGCGCTTGGACCACCCACTGATGCGATAGGATTTCATGGATAGTGACCCATTTGCTGATAAAGAAAATGATCTAAGAGGCGTATATGTGTTTTTTTAAAGTGAGATACTGTAACCATGTGTAACTTGTGATAATTTCATGGGATATGGCCTGATAGCCTACATACCCATACAACAGGAGTGTCTACACTCGACTCTGGTGCGGATATGAGGCGTTTTTGGCACAAGAGGAAGGCTGGATTTGATGTTTTTCCTCTAGGGACCACCAAGATTGATACAACTTGGCCCTGTAGCGACTTGCCGAGTCAATCTTTGGGGGCAACCACTTTGGAGCAACAAAAAAGGGGGCGATCTATACACTCTGGTAAACTAACATAGCTATGGAAAATCATCATGCTCAATGAGTAATCAACTATAAATCACCATTTTCAATAGCTTTTTGTATGTTTACCAGGCCGGGTACTCCACAACTTTCTCAGCGTCACATTCTCGGACAAGGGCACCACAGATCCAAGGTTTTCTCCACAATGTGGAAACTGATTACGGGCCATCCATTTCTGGTTGGTACCATAGCTTACCCTGTTCTGAGACAAATGCTGGAGTTTACCTGCAGTTTAGCTCGCTAAGAATGGTGTTTACACCAAAGATTGTTGGCCCGTTTTGTCTCCTATTGTTGCTGACATCTCTTAGGCGAATATTGGAAAGATACGGAAGGCTTTCCAAATGGAAATAGGCTTTATGCCCCCCTCAGAACTGGTCATTTCAGTAGGGACAATGACGAAGAAACCACGGCAGCTTTGGGGAACGCCAATCTCCAAAGAAGCCCGACTTTGATGTGTTTGCCCCTGTTGGCTGTCACCTACAACATGTGGTTGATGGTTATGTGTAAAGTGTTGTTTAGCAAACTTGGAACCCCTAAATTCCTGGATGGTGAAGAAAAGATCCCAAGCATGATCAATGACTTGGACGATCTTGAAGAGCCCCCATTTTTCTCTTAGGTATCCTGGATGAATGGTTGATGAGTGCTTTGTTTCCCCCAACCAGATTCGAGCGTTTTGTTTCCCCCAAGATCACCCACTCCATTTTGCCAGGCAAGAGAATTCTCATCGCCAAGAACCCCAATGTTCCGGGTCTGCGTCCGGCTGCAATGCGCATGGCCCTCGCTGGACTGCTGGGAGTGTTCATCGGCCTGCTGGTGGACTTCAGCTACTTCCCATGGCCACGGCAGATTGCCCTTGCTGCGGCGCTGGCTGCTTTCGTAGGCCCGGTGAGTTTTCAGTTACAAAAAGTGGGAGCTAGGATTGTCTGGGACCTTTGAGAGGAACATCAAGCATATGAAACTTCTGGGGACTTCTATAGACATCCAGATAGTATACATAATGATAGACATATGACAATTGTAGACATACAGTATCTGGTTGGTGCTTTGGAACATGTTTTATTTTTCCATTCAGTTGGGAATATATCATCATCCCAACTGACGAAGTCATATGTTTCAGAGGGGTTGAAACCACCAACCAGGTATAACTATAATACCCATATGCTCCATGTATGGTATATTTACCTACAAAACTCGGTGATTTTTAAGGCAAATGTTGGTAAATATTCCAGCACCATGGGTTGCATATGGGATAAGATCAGAAGTGGCTTGTTCATCCTTTTGGACTGGTGACACGGGACGCACGTCCGTCCAGGGATATCCAGTGATCATCAGATGAAGAGCAGCTTTGAATCAATGAAAACCATGGGTGTTTCAGAATGCAGTCATTAATTTAGTTCAATTCAATTCAATTTAATTCATATTCATCCCATCTCCTGATTTATTTGATTTGTAGCTAGGGCTTTGGATCAAACATCGAGTTGTACGGATCTTCTTGAACGTCTTGGCAGAGCTGGTTTGTTGCGTGGAAGCCACCCGCCACTTCAGCAGCGAAGCTGAGTCGGCTGAGTCACCCTGGTCGGATCTCACCACTCTGCCCCTGTGGATTCATGAGACGATGCATCATTTGCGCCTGGATTGCAGCAAAGTCTTGGAGCTACCCTCTGGTAAACATACAAAAAGCTATTGAAAATGGCCATAGAAATAGTGGATTTACCCATTAACAATGGTGATGTTCCATAGTTACGTTAGTTTACCAGAGGGTACCCTGATTGCCTTGATCATGGATGCTCCTGAAATCCGTTAACCATGGGTAACTTCCTGGTGAACCATTTGATTCTCCACTTTTCCACCAAGAAAAATACAAGTTTGGGGGTATTACTTATCACCACCTTCAAACGTATCCGGTTATGATGGATCAGCTGGTGCAGGCTGCTTGATCTACGAAGCCAACAGTGGTGTTAGATCGAATTTCAATCATGATTCCCAACCAATTGATGACAAAACATAGACAGGATATGTTTTTGGGACGCTCACAGTATCTCACAGTCCATATGTATATATATATATACATCCATATTATTATGTATGATTATTAATGACACATATTATATGAACATATTCAACGTATGTCGTGTCGATGTTTGGCCCGGCATGCCATGCTTCCATGGCCGATCCAGAAAGATCATCGTCAATATATGTGTCATTATTGCTAATAGTAAACCCATATGCTCCATGCATGGAATATTTACCAACATTTACCCTAAAAAAACACCCAAATGTAGGTAAATGTACCATACATTGAGCATATGGGACAGAATATAAGGTAATGATAGTAATCATATGTACATTAATTACTAATATAATCTAATATATGTAAACATGCGAATTCTCATGGAAGCCCGATTTGTTGGTCAGATATGATGGTTTATGAAATATTAATTACGGTTTAACAAGGAACCACCCCCGAGTGAAGCATTTCAATGGTGAATCATCTTCATCTCGAACATTTCCCCAGCAGTTTTCCGGTCTCTCCTGTACACCTGGAGAAAAACAAAACCTCTGGTAAACGTTTACATAACGAACTGGAAAATCACAATCTTTAAGTTCGGTAAATCAACTATTTCTATGGGCATTTTTATAGCTTTTTGCAAACGTTTATCGGAGAGTATGTGGCTCGGCGGTCCAGGTTCTGGTTGATGGCCGCCAGCTTCTTCTGCTTGTTGGAGTTGGATCGCCTTCGCGGAGAGTCCACGGTGTGCGAGGCGCAGCAGCTACGGCAGGGCTACAAGGGCTCCATCGCGCACGCGGAGTGCGCGCGGCTGACGGATGCAGTGAAGATCCACCAGGTGGGATGGGGGATGTGGAGATGTGCGGCAAGTGAGTTAGGCTATGTATGACTAGGTCGACTAGGTGCCCAAATGCTAGTAAATAACGGGATGGTCGTTTACGGTCATACCAAGTGAAACAGCTGGTTGGTGGTTTCAAACATTTTTTATTTTTCCATATATTTGGAATAATCATCCCAATTGGCTCTCATATTCTTCAGAGGGGTAGGTCAACCACCAACCAGACAGTGATTTTGAATGATTTTGAGTGATTTTGATCGACAGACTTTGGGATTTGTATTGATGGGATGCCCATGGCACACATGGACTTTGGGAGTCCCAGAAGAACGTGTGGTGGTTTCGCAAAACGGGGATACCCATTTTATATCGTTTTATCATCCAAATTCCATTGACATTCGATATCATTCCATTTCTACATATGGTTCAACATGTTTCAACCCATACTGGGATATGGGTATGGGTCAATACCTATAGATACATTTTTAGTGGGATGAACATCCATTTACCAGCTATTTTGATGTTCACCAGGGGTACAAGGTTTTGACACACTGCCATATGGGTGCCGGTGTGGGGCAATATAAGTCTAAATACATCCCATGATAGGCATTTTTTACCATCCCAACAGATGTTTTTTTTTTGGGGGTACCGGGATTTTGATCCATAGCCATTAATCGATTCCCCACTTTAAGGGATTACCCGGCCTGGTAAACATACAAAAAACTATTGAACATGGCCATTGAAATAGTGAGTTTTTTCCATTAAAAATGGTGATTTTCCCATAGTTATGTAAACGTTTACCAGAGGGTACCCCATGTCCAGTCTAGTCCAAGAACCATCGAACTATTCGCCTGTTTGGCTCAGTGGTTTTCCTGTCTTGACCTGACACATTTTTGATGCTGCAGGAAATTGATGACCAACAAGATGCAGTGGATTATGCTATCCATGTCTTGTTGACTGCAGGAATGTCCACCCCGGCATTGCGATACATTTCTCGTGCGGGTGTTGACATTGAGTACGCGGCATATGCCGAGATCACAGCTGCGGCAGTTTTACTGATACCCTTTGAACTGGGATCGCTGACAAACTGTACTTCGTTTCGTGTGTGAGTTTGAAGATAACTGTTTCATTTTTTTGATGTTAAGAACTCAATGGTTGTTCTCCTCACCAACAAGCTCATGTTATCTTTTTTGGGGAGGGCTCTTCCACTTCACCAGTTCAACCAGGTATCTTGTATTTGCTGTACTTTGGAGGAAGCTGGTACATTGCAGTGCTTCAGGGCATCGCAATTTTGTGCCGGTTGATTTTATTGGTCATAATTTGTCGGAGGGAGGCAGATGCTCGGAAGTGAGGTCAAAGCACATTTTGGAAGCAGTCATTTTGGGAAGGCAACGATCCACACACTAGATAAGAAAGGATCTTTGAAAAGATCCGTCAGGAACTGAGTCCTGTAACATGCAAACCAGCCTAGACAGTTAGACCTAAAGTAGATCCCCTTGTAGTACTTCTCGAAAACGATGTAGAGCATCCAATGTTGTCAAATGGAGTCCAAGCCAGATTCCAAAAGTTTGAATAGGACCCTTGCTATGTCAGAAAAAGCAGGTACGTGCAGTTGATCAGACTGCATATCCTCTCCAAACATCAGTAGCTTCGTTGGCCACGGACTGATGAATGGAGCCGTGGCCCCCTGCGTTATTAAAAAGGGAGAGGAAAGAAGAAAGAAAAGGAGAGAAGTTTTACATCTATTCAGATGTTACACACACACACACACCCGGCCGGAGCCGGGTCAACCCTGAAAGGCAAGAGGAAGAAAAAAGCGGACACAGACGACGGGCAAAAGGCCAAAACAGCGCAGGGGGGGGGAGGGGAACGAACGGACCTCCAGAACCAACCTACACGGCGAAACGGACCTGACCAAAACAGAGCACACACCTAAAACCCCACGACACATTACGGAGAGGCACGCGGGTAGAATTAGGGACCAAATGGGGGACTAGTTGATGGCAAACAAGAGAAACCAAAACAATTAGTTTAAAAACAGAACTCAGTTCCTAGATACCTAGAGGTCGTGCGTTATTCCCTTGCCGGGACGGTAGTCAGGTCAGCCCAGAGGGCATATAACGGCTGTTCAAGTTCCATCGAATTAGGTGCACAATATGTTTGACCTCACCAGACAACCATGAAAAGAAAGAGTCACCAAACCTGCAAGCATGAACCTGCCTTGCCTGTTGTCATGGATGTCACAAGCTGGAGCTGCAGTAATCGAAAAAAGAAGTTTCTGAATGTTCAGCACGGCTTCACACAGTAGAGAAGCATTTCCAAAGGATTTCAAGGGACAGCCGGATCCGCGGGACTTCGCAAAAGGCACATAACAGTAAGGCCAACTGTTGCACTTTACTTAAACGAATTACTAAGTTAAAATGTGTGAATTCGGAAGTCAAGTCAGTCGACAGTCACCCTAAACAGGGTTGCCTCAATTGGCCCTATGGCACCTTGTCGGAGTCACCATAGGAATCACACTAGATAAGAAAGGATCTTTGAAAAGATCCGTCAGGAACTGAGTCCTGTAGCATGCAAACCAGCCTAGACAGTTAGACCTAAAGTAGATCCCCTTGTAGTACTTCTCGAAAACGATGTAGAGCATCCAATGTTGTCAAATGGAGTCCAAGCCAGATTCCAAAAGGTTGAATAGGACCCTTGCTATGTCAGAAAAAGCAGGTACGTGCAGTTGATCAGACTGCATATCCTCTCCAAACATCAGTAGCTTCGTTGGCCACGGACTGATGAATGGAGCCGTGGCCCCCTGCGTTATTAAAAAGGGAGAGGAAAGAAGAAAGAAAAGGAGAGAAGTTTTACATCTATTTAGATGTTACACACACACACGGAAATATCATCTGATATTTGCAGGTTTTTACCCTGTTCGAAATTAATTAAACTTATAAGCAACAACATCCTACACTTAGTGGCAGATATCTTTCCAGATCATCCAACTACGAGAAAAAACCACCAGGATGAGCAGTGCTTTGTTTTGAAGCTGCTGACCAAATTCGCTGGGATGCTGATGATCCTTGCTGTGTTTGCGGTATTGCTGGCCTGGTGGTGTCCGTTTTGTGGAAACTTGACATGGTTGGTGGTCTCTGACACGGGCCTGCTGTGCTTGATACCAGTGGCGTTGCTGGGAATACAAGGTGGGCATGAGTTGTTTTTGTCGATTAAGCTTCAGTACCCGTTGTTGTTGTCAAATAGGGGGTTGTTCCGGAAACCGGGGGACCCCAAAGAAATCGTATTTCAATAGGTAATTGTTTTAAACTTAATTAACTATCAGAATTAGGGGGCTCCTACATGTTCAGACCATATCTGCGAAAACAACATCACCATGTTTTCTTGTCCCACGCTGCCGGGCACAGATTTTTTTTGTTCCTCGGGAGGAACCGCAGAACGGCTGCCTTTTGGACTTGGTCTCTTGCAGTTGTCTTTCGCGCGAGGAATCAGTTGTGATTTGCTTTAGTTGTTTTTGTTCGCCTTTACTCTATAAATTTCACGGATGATCATCTTTTTCCCCACACAAATGGCCTGAAGTAGAGGTACCCTTGTTGAAGTGTTAACCCCAAGGTGGTACTGGCACCTTGTTATACCACCATCGCCATCGCCAACTAATGAGGATGGCAGATCTGGTGGGTTCAAATTTCAAGTGCCTCGTTGAAAACCAGCAGTCACTGGATTGGTTTAAGGAAAAATCGGAACCGGAAACCATAGTTTTTTTCCCATCAAATATAAACTGGTTGGTGGTTTCAAACATTTTTATTTTCCGCAATACATGGGATAATCCTTCCCATTGACTAATATGTTTCAAGATGGTTAAAACCACCAACCAGTAAAGGTGTCCTGTAAATTTCCTGAAACCAATCCAATGAACCAGCAAGTTTCTTGGGGACAATCACCAGCCCGGCAGGATTGAAAGCCTTCGCTGCCTGTCGTCATAATTTCCATCTTGCTCGTGAGAGCACTGAGTCTGACACAGAGTCCTCCAGCGACTGACAAAAAGATACGTTGATTGCTGGCAGGGGCCAAGTGGACACTGAGATCATGAGGAAGGCAAACATCAGGAGTTTGCAGAGTCCCAAATATCATGGTGTTTTTTTTGGGAAACATGTTTGTTTTGGGAGGACCTTGGATAAAATACACCTGGTAATTCGACATCCCCACTAAAAGAACGCTGCAGGTGTCCAGCCCCATTCAGAAAGTCATTTCTTTGTTTCTACAGGAGGTCAAGTCTCCACTTTTGCTGATTTCACATACTGTATATAATATAATATGATTATATAAATATATATATATATGATACATAATATATATATATGATACATAATATATATATATACTTGATATTATATATATATACAATATATATATATACATATATACGTACTATGTATATATATATATATCAAACCACACAGTTCGAATATAGAAGTTCTGGTTCTCCACGGGCTCTGCGGTTCTCACCCCACGTCCAGGTTCCAAGGCGAAGGCTGAGGAGATGGCGCCAGATGAGCCGGTGCCACGAGAGGACAAGGCGATCGGAACTTTGAATGGCCAGGTTCCCGGTAAATCATCCTTACTACACTTTATTAATATATATTACATATTATCTGGTTGTTGGTTTCAAATATTTTTTATTTTCCAAAATAAATGAGATAATCCTTCCCATTGACGAACTCATATTTTTCAAGATGGTTAAAACCACCAACCAGTTTTGTATATATATATATATATACATTCATATACATTCATACATTCATACATACATATATATATATGGTACTCCCTCTGGAAACTACTGCCGAACTCCAACCATGTAAATCAGTCACAAAACCACGTAAATACCAATAACAGTACAGAAAAGGTAGGTGCGGGGGGCCATACAATACCATATATATATATATATATACATATTATAATGCGTTGATATGTGTGTATATATACATATATACATATATAGATATATATATCTATATATGTACGCACGCATGTTATATATATATCGTATTGTAAATCTTGATAATGACATATATTTCATACACCACCATGGTATACATAGACACACTGGCTGCAATTCTGGCTGTGATTTTTGACTTCTACTTTATGATACATTTGGGAAGATCTAGTGTTTCTCTTAAGTCATATTTGTATCTTTCAGGAATGACATATCTCATGTCTTTGTCATCCAAGAAATGAGTATGATATCCCTATGGTTGATGGTTGTATCAACATACTTGGTACAAAGCTGCAATATAGTAACATTGTTTTCTGGGACACCTGTTTGTGCTTGGCATATTCCAATGTATTCCACAATATGCTGGGTCTAAACAATTGATTGGGGAAGTCCCACTTCTTTTTGATTTTGTCGATTAAAACCTGGCATGTTGATTCTCTGATCCCTACGTGGCCGACGCCAAAATCGGAGCATCACTCTGTGGCATATTCTCACCTCTTTGCCGGTGTTGTTCAGTGTTTATATTGAATTATGGATACATACATATATATTTCTATATAAGTGGATATATATATATAATATATATATAATATATATATAAGTGGATATATATATATATAAGTGGATATATATATATATATTATATATATAT